AGGCCAGAGGCCTACCAGTCCCTTGCTGTCAAACTTGGCAAAAGGCGACATTTTTGCTGGCAAACTACGGGCTCCCGGTAAAGTTGCAACGAAACCTCGATTTTTGCAAAGGAAACTTGGAACGAACAACGTTTTTGCTGCCGAACTTGGAAAAAGCAATATTTTTGCAATTAACCCTTAAAATTTCTGACTCTCTATTTTTTCCGTTAATCCAGCGACCCCGGATTCTTAATTCCCGACCCTGGATTCTTCGGATTCTTAATTCCCGACCCTGGATTCTTCGTTTGTGGTTGTCGATCGAGGGTCAGAGAGGAAGAACTTGAGTAAATGGGACTTGGGCCCGGGTGCCGTTTTTATTGGTCAAATCACTCAAGTGGGCCCAGGGCTTCGTTTTTCTTCTTCTTCTTTTTGTTTTGTGAATGGAGCTGCACTTTCAAGCACTAGTACCTTTCCCGCGTGGGAAAATAGGGAAAACTGGCAGTTTCCCCAAGCTCCTGAATCTTCGGAGGTCGGGTCGGACGACGACTGCCTTTGATAAATCCTACCGGCGGCCGTCATGTCGTTTCAGCCTCTGGAAAGGTCGGACGCCTACCCGAGGCCCGCTATTTTCCCAAGCGGGAAAGGTACTGGTGCCATGATTCCCATTGAAAAAGGACTACAAAAAAAAAAAGAGGAGCTTCGTTATGATCGAGCTCGCAAGGAGTATTGCCCCGTTTTCTTTTCTTTTCTGCTAAACAGATCGTTGTACAAATTTGTGTCCTAGGGTCTGAGACTGCGAGGACTGGCAGGCACTGGCCGAGGATTATTTTCAGGAAAATTGTAAAGCAAAGCTCATTGCAAGCACCAGATTCTCGAAGGAGTCCGCGGAGTCCGAAGAGGAGGTGAAGCCTTGAAGGGGGACGTGGTGGAGGAGGAGGAGGTGGAGGAGGAGGAGGTGGAGGAGGAGGAGGAGGTTGCTAAAGGTGTGGGGGATCATGCAGAGTGTGTTGACGCATCGCATAGGAGAGGCTGATCTGCTTCTTGGCGAGCATATCTACTCATGGAGGAAATGTTACTTATACTCTCATCATGGTATTTACGCTGGAGATGGCCGAGTAATCCATTTTGTCAATCCTGAGGAGGAGATGGCGGCATTCTGCAGCTCTTCATCGTCTTCTCTCCTGAAGATAAATCAGGAGGCATGCCCAGACTGCAGGGCTGCTTTCAGGTCAGCGACCGAAGGAGGTAACACCGTAATGGAGACGTGTTTGCCGTGTTTTCTAAAGGGTGGGGAATTGTACAGATACCAGTATGGAGCCAACAAGCTGTTTTTCTTATCGAGATTGAGAAGGGGCACGTGCACCATGGCGGAATCAGATGGCGGAGTAAAGGTTCTGCACAGAGGGAGGTACCTTTTGGAACATGGCTTTGGAAAATACGATCTGCGGAACCACAGCTGTGAAGATTTTGCATTGTATTGCAAAACTCGCAAACTGCTGAAGAAGGGTGCCGGGGAGGCGATTTTCGTGAATGGCTCATCTCTTGCAGTCCTTATGGTCGTTATGGGAGCACACGCCGGAAGTTTTTTGACATCAAGCGCTGCGTGTGCAGTTGGTCTAACTGCTGGCCTCCTCAAGTTTCGCTATGACCATGATATTGCGGTTAATGAAGACGTAGTAGATGTAGAAGAGCTGGTGAGAAGTCTAGGGGGGGGACCACCATCTGCAACCACAGAGCCACAGAGCGGAAGTTAGTCTACGATCGTCTGAGTCCACTGTACAGATTACGCATTAAGTTAAGCATTGCACATACCATACGGCTCCAAAGACTCAGAAAAAAAAAAAAAAAAGACTATACTTGTCTGGAGCTCCAACGGCCTGTTCACACACGTCCACATTGTCGTGATAAAATGCGCCTGTAGCTTGCATCAGACTGTGGCGTCGACATCATAAAAAACTTGCAGGCGTCTGTGCGGCTGTGCCCTGCATAGGCCTGCGAACGATTCCGAGTCAATAGAGAGAAGGGTGCATTGAACTGCATTCACTGACTTCATGTAGATTGCGTACTATACACTACAGAAATTTCCGAAAATGATCGCACGGCTGTGCTAGGTCTTCCAGGCCTGCAGGCGAATCAGTCGGATGTCGGGCGAAGTGGACCCTCAGGCATTCAAGAAAACCAGTCCTGCAGCGGCATATGGTTACGCCCTGCAGCTCAGCACTCCGCATAGACGAACTCCTGACGGAAGCTCTCATCTCCTGAAGATAGCATTCAACCCTTTATGGGCAGCATACATCTCAGTCATCTTCTACCGCAGCCTGCTTAGTGGCAGGCCTTCTTCTGGCCCTTTTATTTCTGCCAACGACCTGCTCAGTCAATCCCCTGGGGTCCAGGGTTATCAATGCTGGCAGGGACCCACGAATTGGTTCGAATTTGTTCTGATTTCAGTCAATATAAGGGACGCTGCTGGACCCGTTTTCCAGCAGGTGACGCTCCCCACCAATAGATGGAGCCTCTCGCCGACTGGTAGTGGTGTCTGCTCTTATCAGCATCACTACCAGCGGCGGGGGTTGTCGGATAGTGATCTTCCGCTGGGTGGGGGCGACCTGCTGAGGGGGGAGGGAGGCGGGACAGGGATAAGGACCTGAGGGTGGGGCCAAGGGGAAGGAGGGGTTAAGTTGATGTGGAGGGCGCGTGAGTATGTAGTTGTCGTCTGGATGGGGGGTGCATGTCGAACTGGTATTGATATGATATTGGAGCCCGGAGTAGTCGTGTGTGTCTCTCTTGTGGCAGGACTTTGACTTTGAGGGGGGCGTCAATGACTCGCTCTCTGTTCCTTTTGCTTTTTTTTTTGAAACAACGGCGGACGCGGCATGTTTTGAGTACCTAAAGGCAGGAAAAACAGGCCTTCGGCGACTGTGTCAGGGCCTGAGTTCTAAGGCCTGGACCCCACAGGAATGCGGCAAGGAATACTTTTGCCGCAGAATTGTTTCCGGGAGCCCACATAGCCCGGAAAAGTCTGTGGAAAAGTTTTGTGTTTTCCGCGGAAGTGTTCCGCGGGGCCCCACACGGCACGCTTTGTGGGGTGGAAAAGTGCGGAATTGTGTTTCCACATGGTCTGCTGCGTGGAAAAGTACCGCGGGAGGGATTTCCGGCGCAATTTTGTGCCGACTCTCGAACATTGGGGGTGGAGGCATCCCGAAGGTTTCCAAGATGTCGGCCGCAGGCCGGACTTCAGGATGTCCGCCGAACCGTCTTGTAGGGTCCTGGAGCAGCAGTGTGTTCCATGCACGGTGTTGCACGGTGGGACGGGGCCCACCTTCCGTGGCCCCGCGTCGGTGGTTAACATTTTGGCGGGCAAAGCCCCGGCCTTCGGAATTTGAATTCCAAAGGTGGGGTTTTTGCATGCCGTTGGCGTCATCAGGCTTCTGACGTTGGTGGAGTGATTGCATGTGAAGGCGCCTGTGACGACGTTGCGGCGCACGTGGGTGGTTCCTCCCCTTGGGCTTCGGTCATGCAAGCCTTCTCCAACCTCCATCGCCGCGCATTGCCGTGGAAGTCCGCTTGTCGTCGCCTTCATGCAGCGGCATTCGAGGTCGTCGTCGGTGACAGATGACAGAGTGACTTCCGGGAGCACTGCCAATCCCTCCCTGATCGAGGTGGGCCCGGTCATTGGCTATCGTCCTTCCGTCGACGAAGCCAGGCCATAGCGGCGGGTGTGTCTGCAGTTGACGCTCCAAACTTCGTGCGTGCCATCCGGCCGACGTGGATAGGGTCTTCTTCGAGGAGCTTGCTATGTCGACGAGCCGAAAACGCGTGGCCTGCAACGACTTTTCATGCACGGTTGAGGCCCGTTGGGGACGTCGTGGGACGGCCGACACAGCAGCTCATTAACGCACAACGTGGGGGGACATCTGTGCATCCTTTCCACGTGCCATCTCCAGCGCTACCGAGTGCTGCCGAAGAATGCAACTGTTGCGACAGTGGAAGACGGCCAACGGCATCACCGCGAGGCCCGATACTTATCGTCTTCCAGGGCTGCAACAACAACAGTTGGGGCTGCATTCTGAGCGTTGTGTTTTGGGGAGCGACCATAATCGTGGCGCTGCTGATTGCTTTTTTCTGCATCGTCGTTGTGATCTGCTTCACTGCCGTTGTCGTCACTGTGTTCCTAACTAGGCGGCAGATCGATGGAGGGACGGAGTTTTACATCCGAACTGTACGGGGTTGTCGGTGCATCCATGTACGACACCGACGAGGTTCGGGCTGGAGACGTTCAGCGCCATGGACATATGCACGGGGCAGGGCCTCCACCGATGACGTGGCCCGTCATGGCAGCTCATGGTTCCTACACGCTTCGTTCGGAGCAGGCGGACGGAGGCAGACTGCACAACACGACTTTCGCGGGCATGGGCACAAAGGAGTCGTTACGCGTGGGTGGCCGTGGAGGTTTCATGGGGCGAGAAACGTACATGCAGACTGCACACGGGACATCAAACAGCAGTGACAGGCTGATCCAATCCTACCAGTCGTGGGGAGGCGCATCGACGGACGTTGTTGGTGCTTGGGGTGCTGCCGGGGAGTACGAAGACGTGGCACACACGCAGCGAACGAGTTCGATACCGCCACCACAGGCAAGGCATGCGCATAGGACGGCCACAGCGGGGCAGACAACTGTGCTTGATCGTGCTTCGCGACCACAACATGTGGCAGGGGGGGGGGGGGGGGGCAGTACGTGACACCTGGTGTCGCAGTTCCGGGCGGGGTGAGTGCCCGGCAATCGCCGACACGTCAACAACGACAGCAAAGGGCAGCGATGGGCGAAGACCGGGGCTTAGGGGTGGCTACCGTAATATGGGAATACGGATCCCCGACGGGGAGGAGGGAAGGTAGACAGGCAGGGAGTGCCAATGCCATGAGGGACACGACCGGTAATTGTTCGCCCAACATGGCGGGTGTGAGTTCGGATGGCGCGGGCGAAGGGTTGGCGGCGGGCTTGGACGGGGAGAACTCCGACTGCGATGGTGATGACGGACCGACAGCCGATTCATCGACGAACCCGGGTGGAGGTGCGCATGGTCGGACCACCGCGAGACCTGCATGTGGTACCCGGAAGAAGGGGGAGAAGTCTACAACCCAACCCAAGAAGAACAACCTTTGGACTCTGGAAGAGCCAATAGCCCTGGCGAGGATCAGCGGCGAGGATGACACCCTCATGGCCGATGCGGAGGGCGCTCAACAGCACATGACAAGGACAAGGAGGTATGAGTGGATCGCGGACGGCCTGGCAGACCAGGGTTATTCGAGGACAGGGGAGGATTGTAGGAAGAAGTGGGCAGAGTTCCAGAAGAAGGTGAGGGAGATTCGTGACGCCTGCAGTGGCTCTGGCAAGCCGGGGTACTTCGACATCACTACGGAGGAGAGGAAGACATTGGGGATACCCCTGGCGTTTGAGAAGCCGTTGTGGGACGCCATGGAGTGGTACCGAAAGAAGGCTTCCCTCAATTGCGACAATACGATGGCGTCGGAGGACTTGAGGGGGACTGGATCGAGAGGATCAGCGAGCGAGGCAAGTTCCGAAGGTGGGGGGACAGAACCCACCGGGAGTGCAGCGAAGACAAGGCGAACCGCAACTGGAAAAGTTCGTGGAGGTGAGTCATCGTCCTACATGTTCGGCATAACTTCGGTGATGGAGGAATCCACCCGGTCTCTCTGCGAGGGCCTGGACAAGGCTGGCGGGAACATGGCACGTGCCACGACAGAAGGTGCTGCGCTCATGGCAACGAAGATGGGAGATATGGCGACAGAGATCGGGGTTGTGGCGGGGGCGATGCGGCAAGGGAATAGTGTGTTCGAGATGATGGTCGGGGTGATGGCAAGTAGAGGGGCAGGGACACAGACCTGTCGACGAAGTAGGGCATTGCGGGTAGTCAATTTCCAACCTGTCATTAACCACCCCCTTTTTTCCATAATGTGGTCCCTCGAAACCCATCCCTGGCATCCCAACATAATTGAGGGGAAAAAGAAAACATCGGGACAGTTATTTTGGGATGGCCCGGGATGGGGGATGTGGCACGAGTGCCTGTGCCGGGCCCGTTATTCCAGGGGCAGCCGGCACCCGCGCGCTTCTATATAAAGTGCGTTGGCAGTCCATTTTCGTAGGAGCCCTGCATTCTCACCACGCTCGTGTGTGGGAGATTCCTGCGTTGCCTCTCCCGGTAAAGAGAGAGAGAGAGAGAGAGGGAAAGAGAGAGAGAGAGAGAGAGAGAGAGAGAGAGAGAGAGAGGGAGAAAGAGAAAGAGAAAGAGAGGGAAAGAGAGGGAGAGAAAGATGGAACTCGCATGGAGGGAGATTGTGCGTGGAGAGGCGATCATGTATTGGGAAGAGCGTCGTCGGCGGGACGGGTACTTTCATCATGACCCGCCGTTCGGGAACGAGATCACTCGCCGGTCGTACCGTTTCTATTCGGTCGACGTCAATGGGCAGGCCGCTGTTGACATCGATGCCGCCTTGGGCTTCAACAACCGTCTCCTCTCTCATTTCGTGTTCTACGTGACGAAGACTGGATCCATCGTTCCGGACGATTGGACGCACCTGCAGGTAGACATCGTCGGCGACATCGTCGAGAACCTCATCCAGAACTTGGTGATAGAGCACGCTTCGCGGTTGGATAACAGAGCGTTTTACTACACGTTCTTCGAGAAGCCGCTCGTCGGTCGCGGGTACCTTCACGGCGAGGTCCGTGCGTAGCTTCGGGTGCGTGTTCTGATTGTCGTCATCTTCGCAGGAGGAAGGTGGCGATGGATTGGGGTTTTGTTTTGTGGTCGGAGAGGCGAGAGAGATCGGGGATTTTGCATGGATGGCTGTTTCATTTTTGCAACGGCGGGTGCGTACTTGCTGGAGTGGCGGAACGTTACACTGTGTCCCTGCGCACGGTCGTGGGGGAGAAGGTTAATCACCCCCTTCGTTTTTGTGCAACGAAGATTTGGATGGGGTCATCTGCCTTGTGTGTGCACGGTCGATGGGTGGCAATGGACAATAAAGACGAAGGGGCGGTGAATTAGCGAGCGCGGTTCGGATAACGAAGCGTAGGGGATGTGTCGCACGCTGTCTTCGTGTCAGTCTGTCGGGTGTTCGGTGTCCACGTGTCCAGTCGCCATTGGAGGAAGTAGTGGTGTGATGCTGTTCTCTCGCCGGTGTCACGAATGTCGTATTGTTGTTTTCATTGAATGGAATACATGCTCGGTCGTGGGCCGCCGGTTCAACAACATTTGTGACTAGATGTCTGCATGTGTGCGTGGCAGCGGGAGTGCTACTCCCTTCACATAAATTTCGTTAATCCTGAACTCACATTTGTCGATCGATGCGTGCATGTGTTTTTTGCTGTTTGTTGTTGGAGTTCGTCGATCACACATGCATTTGTTGACATGTTTATAGTTAGCTTATGTACTCTATTTTATTATTCGTTATTAATCGATTATTCCTTCTATTCTTTGTATTCTATTTTATTACTTTATTTCATTTCCAATTCCACATCAATTATGATCTGTATATGCATATCGATAAACTGTTGGGGGAGAGAGAGAGAGAGAGAGAGAGAGAGAGAGAGAGAGAGAGAGAGAGAGAGAGAGAGAGAGAGAGAGAGAGAGATGTGGCACCACCCACACACACGCACACACGCACACCTGTCTCTTATACACATCTAGATGTGTATAAGA